AAATATTTTGGGTTTTACTGAGTGTTTTGAATCAAACTACCATACAAATGGCATACTTAGCCTTGAACTTTAAAAATGGCATAAAACCTTCTTCATCAACTTGTTTAGCAGAAAACAATGTCATTTGAAAACAACMATTATATTTCTTTGTACGATTAATGAAGTGATCGTGATCAGGATGGTCACCCATGAGTAAGTTGCTTAACGGTTCTGGTGGCTGTAGCAAGATATCGAGTTTTTCCTACCTAAATTGCAGCACATGCTAGGTGTTTCGCTTTTCAATTTGAGAGCGTTACAAAATTTACAATTTTGGATCATAGTGCTAATGTAATTTATAATTAATTGTGATATCATATGCAAGACTATTAAAGGAATTCAAGATGACACCTGATCATAATACGCCATATAACTTAATAATAGCACTTAATGAAAATAGACGTAATAAATGGTATGAAACCACTGCCAACCTAAGATTTACCTATTTTAGCCGTCAAGCTTGGAACTAGGTTTGGAATTATCTAAACCTGCCCAATATAGTGCTATAAATCCTTATAATGTGGCAACTAGACTTATTTAAGTTTCTGAAGGTTAAAATGGATAAATTATACAATAGATCTGTGAAACTACCAGTCAACYTAATCAACCTAACCTACCTTAGTCATCCTGACTATAGTGCAGCTTTTTCAGTARGTGGCAATCGACAACATGAAATTGGGCTAGACAGTCGGCTGGAATGGCGTATATCCGGAATTCCTAAAAGAAGCCCTGGTAAATATTGTCAGAAAACATGAAGGTGCAAATAATTCAATGTTAACTTYAATGATGAAAACCATTCCCAAAGTTCGACTGAAATCTAAAAAACCACCATGGGTAACATGAAAGGCACTGTTGAATTTCGATATCAGAGGAACTACGGACAACGGACCGATGTAAAGAATGGGAAAACTTAATACTCATTAAAAGTGAACTTATCTCTAATCCCAGTATTYCATTAGCAGGTTTTTCTCTTTCACACCAGGACTGAGTAGCTCTTAACAGGCTAAGAACAGTTGTAGGTAGATGTAGACAACTTATGCACAGATTGCATCTGAATTACAACCCAGYATGTCTGCATGTGACTGCAACGAGAGTCGGCAAACGGTTSATCACATTMTTATGAACAGCCCGGAAACGTGAAAGAATTTATATACCTAATAGAAAGAGCAGTACAGTAGGTAAATTAAACATTAAATTGTAGTGATTTGTTCATTTATTATGTTTTGTTTTCACATTATTGTTAATTTATTTTTTGGTTATATATGATTTTTATGACTTGTTATCATTATTTGTGTATTAAAATGTATTTATTTTGCTGTATTAATTCTGTGTGTTAAATGAGTGTAATGGTTAGTAACCATAAGATAAATAAAATAACTTTCAAATACTCAGATTACTTAAATTTTTTTTATCGTTTAAGGAAGGTCCTGTGGCTCTATCAATTTTTTTTCATGTACGATATAAGAATCACACYTTTTCYAATAAGTTGTTATTTTCTGAAGACATTGGTGTATCTAAATTTGAACAAGTAAGTATTTTTGAGTATTGAGATAGTTTATGATATTTTTTTATAATAGTTTTAGTATTGACCTCAGATCATAGAAATGTTTAGGCCGAGGGATTTTGTTCTTACATTCGCCATAAACTATAATAACCTTTACTCCAAACAGTGAAGAAGAATAGGCGTCAAAAGTAAATTTATCAAACGCCAGGATGTAAAAATGTTTTCAATATTATGTGAACTTATTACGTATACATAACATGTAAGTAACATAAGTACCTATATGTAGGTAACCAATAACCATGTAATGTATTTTGTTTGAAGATTGATGTAGAAATATACAATGTTATACAACCGTTGCATCAGAATATCAAACTTATGATTCATCTTAAATAAGCCTCCTCTACACGGATAACTAATTACTCTCCCCCTACTCTAAAAATAAAAATGAGCATCTGGTTTAACCATTGATATCACTTGTACTGAATTTTATAAGGTACCACTGTTTTTTATCATGGAATTAAGTATTGTTATGTAGCCTTGTAAGTATAAGAAACCTATTATTATGCTTATACATATATGTATAATAAATTATAGTATAAAAGATAAATATTATTATTTTTAAATATTTAAATATTAAACAAAACAAAACATAACATA